AAGTGGGTGAAGGGAGACATCGGACAGTGTAAGATATGACAAAATAATAATTTATAAATTATCAAGGGTTCATGAGGGAGGGAGAGGAAAAATGAGCTGATATCAAGGGCTCAAGTAAAATGCAATGTTTTGAGAATGATGATGGCAACAAATGTACAAATGTACTTGACACGATGGATGGATGGTGATAAGAATTGTACGAGCCCCCAATAAAATGATTTTTTTTAAAACCAAGGGAAAAACATTTATTTAACAACAAAAACCTGAACATTCTAATTAGATTTTTCAAAATGTCGGTGGAAATAGTTTTAAAGTTTGGTTTACGATTGGTGCGTGGCGGCGGAGTGGGGAAAATGATGATCACCTGAACTTTAAGGGAGAACTTCAAAAGAATGGGCCAGGCTTGTTTGCTCAGATGCAATGGTGGTGGAGGAAGTATCCGGAGAAAGGGAGCAGAAGGCAGCTCTAGAAACAGCACCCGTCCCAAACTGGGTCTGCACTTCGATGTCACCTTGGAGAGCGCTCCTGAAAGCTCGTCTACACCGGAACAGAAACCAGACAAGCAAGAGAGGTCAGCCCGGATGGCAAAGGAGGCGTCTCCTCAGGACTGCAAGCTTTGATTGACACGGGTTTCCTTGGAACCCTATTTCAATCTCAGTCCTTGGGCAAATCCGGTGGGGGGTCGCCCAGACTGCTGGCGACAAGAGGGGCGACGAGCCCCACGCAGACCCCAGTGAGCCACTTTCCTTGGTCTTGCCAGCTGCAGGCTTCGGTCGCTACGCACGTCGCCACTACACCAGACGCGGTCGGACTCCGCTTGTCACCCTGCGCGCCGAGCGGGTACCGGGCGCGTGTGCCTGGCCTCACGAGGTTGGCGGGACCCTGGGCGAGGCAGCCGGCTGTGCCCGCGGCGTCCAGGCTCGGCGGGGTCACGTGTGGCCGCGGCGCGCCCGCTCGCGGCGTGGGAACCTGCGGTAGGAGCGCGCACCTGGGGAGCACACGAGCGCACGGGGCGCTCGCCCGGGGGCTTCCACTGCCCGCGGCCCGGGGCCCGGCCCCGCCCGGGTTTGTCTCCCGCAAGACCCCGGCTGCTCGCGGCTGCCCGCTGCCAGGGGAGCCACCCAGTGGGCCCTAGGCCGCCTCTTCGCCCCGGCTGCTCGCGGCTGCCCGCTGCCAGGGGAGCCACCCAGTGGGCCCTAGGCCGCCTCTTCGGCTCGCCGCAGGGTCCCCGTTTGGAGTTG